GAAAATCCAAATAAACCCCGTGATTCAATAGCATGTAGAACCACCTATAACAACAATATCCTGAAATAATAGTTTTCTTTAAGACTGTGTCAGTGTCTCACATTGTTCTTTAAGTATTTTGGCCCACTCTTTTTTTAAAACAGAGTTTATTGAGTTTTGTGGGCATTCGGCCACTGCAACACCTTGATTCTTTTCTTTTTCAGCCATTCTGTTGTAGATTTGCTGAGCCAACCTTTAGAATGCTTTGGTAGGAGTCGCGAAGTTCCCTAATGAAAAGATTTGCACAGCTAACTGTCAAAAACTCCAAAGTCTATAAAAGCTTATGAGAATCAACATCAATGATTCTATACTGAGATGATGCCTTTAAACTGTCTTGTTTTTTTCCCCCTATGCAGATGACAGAACAGAGGAAGCAGAAACAACGAATTGGACTTCTTGGTCACCCTCCTCACATGAACATCAATCCCCAGCAGCCTGCCTGAGGGGCCTTGGGGCCATTTTCACCAGTGCCTGAGCACCCGTAACAGTGTACAACATGTTAGCCAGGAGAATGCCAAAACATGTCCATCTCCAGTATCTATTTAGGTCAATGTATGGCTGTATTTTCCAAAACACTCCCTTAGACGTGAGTAAAAGTTATCTTGGTGTGTAGTATAGATGTGTCAGTGTGGGTGGAGTGTGCACGACGTGCCTCAGGACCTGAGAAGCCAGTCCTGTAAGTTTCTGTCTTCAGCTTTACTACCCTGAATGCCTTCTGCATCGGACCTGTCAGACAGCATGCCAAAGTTTAGCCATTGTTCCTGAGGGAATATTCCTCTCTAGTGGCCTTGTAACGAGGATTTCATCCTCTGTGTTGCACCAGCAAACTCAGGTCACATGTGGATTTGAAGTTTTGTTTGACCCCTACAACACGATATTTAATATTTTGCTTTCATCAGATGGCAATAAGAATGCTATTTAATATGCAATGACTAATTAAGAACTAACTAGTTTTGAGAATTTTGTTTGCTTTTTTTTATTTAAAATGATTTATCATGTATTTAAAATATAAGACAAAGCTGTAAACAACACTGAAGAGGTCACCAAGCTTTTCCAAAGCATATAAAGATGTTATTAAATCTGTAATCGTTTGTTTCTTTGTTTTTTAAGTCGAGAGAAAGCATTTGATACTACTTTCAGAATTCTTTGTAATCTCAAACTAAGGTCCTCCTTGTTCCAGGGCAGTTTATATAAGAAAAACAATCGTTGGGAATACATTGTAACTTTTTTTGAAGATAAATAATTCTGACCCGTTACAACTTTCTAGAAATATTTTTTGTATAATGAACATTATGGACTTCCTAGAGAGCTGAAGCTGTCTTGCGATTGTTTCACCCTGACACTGGGTCCATGATGTATTTAACAATGTGATTTATGTGGGATCTCATTAAAACCACAGATCCAAACATAAAAGATTTTTGGGAACAACATTATCTTCATTATCCTTGATATGTCTGCACTGACTTACTTAATCTTCGTTTAACCTGTTTAGATTGAAGCACTGATATTTTCTGTAGCACAGAAGCAATCGTTGCTATTTGTTTGGTCACTTTGTAAAGAATACAAAGACTGTGTTCATGTTAATGTGAAGAAAGAAAAAACTACTAGATTGAATTTGGAGTGTTGTTAAACCAAACTCAACTTTTATACTTACTGATGGATTCTGTCTGAACTGTACATTGCATTCTTGGAGTCTATTTAAATAAATAAGTGTGTCAAATATGGTTGCTGAAACCAATGTCTGCATCTACAAATGTGACACAAAAGGAAGTGAAGATCTGGTAATTCCCTAAGTCACAGCCATGCACTTTGATAGTGCAGTGGGCATGAAAAAAAATGTAGCATGCAGAAGTCATAATCGGGAATTGCCGGCAGATTATCTCTTATCCGAAGTCCTCTAAAAATGAGGAAGTGCACTTCTTCGATTATCATACAGCATGGGGAAATGTCTGCGCGTACATGGGTTGCACATTTGTAAGCTTCATTTGATCTTTTTGTATTTCATCCTTCCGCAGGCAGAATATTTATAGAGTTTAACATTTATGTAGCTTCCTGTATTTGCATTGAATATTGAAATTGAACAGTACTGCCCAAAAGTATTGCGCCACCCTTAATTTCTTTATATTTTGTTAGGAAAATGAGAACGGTTACAGCTATTTATAGCAGCAAACGCACACAGAAATGCAGGTTCTGAGGCAAAAACAGAGTTTGTACAATCCTAACAAGTTTGCAAGTCAATATCTGGTATGAACACCTTTATTTTCAACTCTCTTAGGCAAGCCTTAGTGGAATTTATTGAAGTAATCTTTAGGAATAGTTCTCCAGGCTTCTTGAAGGACATTCAAAGCTCTTCTTTGGATGTTGGCTGAAACTCTGATGGTGCTTTTTTTGTTGTTGTTTTAGGCCTAGCACTTCTTCTTTTGCCCTTCACTTGTCCAGTTTCTTCACATTTCTGTGTAATAGCTCTTGGGGACCATTCTGTTGGTGCTTTACAAACTGTTATCTGTGGCATTTTTTTTATCAATTCAACTTTAAACTTGAAGAAATTGCAACAAATTAACTGTTTGTTTTTTTTGATGCACTGCTCATAACACTGTGCGTAAAAATACAATTTAAAATCGGTTTCTTTCTATGCTGTTTGTTGTGTGAAGATGCAACACTGGTTCATGTCTCGCATTAGTGCCTTTACGCATTAATGATTGATAGGTCAGTCTTAAGTGTCTTACAAATGTCTCTTAAAATGGTCAGGTATAAGGAGTGGACTGAAAAGGAGTGGAAAAGCAGCCAATGTCCAAATCAAAAAATTTCCAAAGACCTCCAGAAAGCCTGGGAAACTATTGCTCATGACCACTTTTAATAAATTACAAGAAAGACAGGCTGTTGGATTAAAATATAACAAAATGAGGGGTGAGAGTCAAGACCTTTGCACAGTGATAAGTAAGGTTTCTAAATATATGCTTCAGATTAAGAGAGTGTTCGTCTCTATTTGTCATCTATATATTGTCGCCTAAAAAGCTGTTAAAATAGCCTTTGACAGTCTCTCAGTGGTTTCACAGTATCACATAAAAAACAATATTTTTGTTACCTAAAGCTCAAACATTTTGTAAGAAAAAGAAAAGGCATCATTATCATTACATAAAAAACCAAAAAAACAGGATGTACTTGTTTTACGTGTCCCCAGACTGCATTCAGGGTGCTTTCCATCGTTATGGTTATTTATAAAAGATTGGGATGTGACCGGGATTATGGTTGTTTTCCAATTACTGAGCCCCACTTTATTCACCAAACTCCAGGAACAGTTTCTAGGAACAGTTGATAAAATCACAGGACGAGAGATTCTGGAGGGTTTTAGTGGAAATAAAGACTGTTACCAGTTACTGTGAAGGATCCTGATTATCTGAAACAATGAAACATCTGTTTACTCCGGATTCTTTTAAAATTTGTGTCATTTAAGTGAAACTTTCAGAGCTAATGCCTTCTGATGTTATGAATGCATGTTTGATATCTGCAACTTTCTTTTTCTTTTAATAGATAAGACAGATCGGACAGTTCAAGCGTGCTTTTAGCTGCAAGGCAGGGAGACAAAATGAGCTCTTAAACACAGTAATCATTTTTAGTTTAGTTTAGTTTTTTTGTCAGAAGGAGTAAAACAACTGATAAAAATGCAAGAAGCTTCATAATGTAAAACCCCCCCCCACAAAAACGAGCATGACTTCATCTGATTCTCCATAGATTTTACTAAATGTCCTGCTGCTGTGTTAAAAAGGTGTGAAAACTGGGAAAACCCTAAACCCGAAACACAGTGGTTTCATAATGTGCCTTGAATTTAAAGTGTCTTTAACTACGAGATGAACAATTTATGATTTTCATGTCTTGTATGTTGCTGAGTGACCCCTAAATGCCACTGCTGTCGTTCCTGTTTTTGTCTGACATGTGACACCTACTGAATGTTGGTGTGTTCTCATATTTCCGTTCATTAAGCTGCAGCTGACCCCTATTATTCCTATTAAATGTGGAAATACCCTTGTGTATTAAGTTTGTTAGGATCATCATCAAACCTCATTTTATGAGCTATTCTTGCGTGAAAGAAAAAAAGTACCTTACTGCTTATTTTAACATTACGTGAGAGTTCTAGGGGATATTTTTTAGTAAAAGCAAAATCCTGCAATGTAAATGTCGTCACACCAGTCCTCGAATACCATTTCATTTTTCTGCGAGAAATGCAATCAATGAAGAAGCACGTTTTAAAAGTGTGCCTGCAGCCTGCAGCGGACAGGTGCAGCCGCCGTGTGCGTGGATGAGCTGGATGTGCCCCGCGCGCGCTCAGCAGGATCCCGAGGCCATGAGGAGATCAACGTGACAGACGGCACCGCCTCATGACAGTAAACGCGGACTCCACACAGCCGTCCACGCACAGGTGCACGTGGTTCTCCCACCGTGACCGAGCCGTTCTGCAAACAGACCAATAGACGAGACAATTTCATATTTCCTCTTCTGCAGATTCAATAAGTTGTTTGTCTCCATGAGATTAATGATTAATAAAGTGAACTTTTGTCCTTCAGTGCAGAGCTCTTGACGTTTGAAAAGCCCCTTAAATTGTTTTATTGCCCTTGAAGAAATATTCCGATGTTTTTTTTGCTATTTTGCAGTCGTACGTGAGATTGTGCCTTTAACGGCTCGATTTACTCTTTTAATTTTATTGTGTTCCTTTTTTAAAAAAAACAAACAAGAAAAACCCGTAGTAGGTACCACACCTACTCGCCTCGCGAGGTTCGGGTTTGTTGAACTCCTGCGATGGTTCACTGCCAGCACGTTCCCCGGCGCACAGCCTTGTTTCCATACACTTCAGCATGGTGGTACACGGGATCGGTCATGCCCCGCCCTAGGCTCTGACGTCATCCGCCGTCCGCCCACTGAGGTGCCTCATCTGTAGGGAGTGGGCCGTCCTTTCGCCGAGGATACAGCGCCGTTTAACACGTGAGCCTCATGTGACAGAGGTAGATCAGTCTGAGCGGAGAGTCGGAGGGTTTATTTAACTCGTCGTTCTGTCCTCCCCCACTTTCCCAGCGCGCCACCAAGGCTTGACTTCCTCACCGCTGCGGGACCACGGCGTGGAGATCGCAGGAACTAACTTTACAGCGTTTTGTTTTTTAAAAAATGACAGATTATTAGACAGTTTTAACCTTTTTTGACGCATTCTGCGCATTTTTCGTTGCATTTTATCATTTCCCTTTTTTATTTACAAATTGCTTTGCAAGTGCTGATAGAGCGCGTAAATAAATGCGTATTTATTTCTGAGTGCTTTTGGAAGAGTACCTCGGTTTTGACAGCAAAATTGGAATACAAAGAATGGAGCGAATTCCAAGCGCGCAACCACCCCCTCTGTCCAAACATCAGGCTGAACTGTCAGACGTGCAGGGGTAAGTTATACTTTGGAGATGTAGCTTTCCCAGACTGTGTCCCCCCCTTTTTAACCTCCAACTAAAATGTACCTAATGTATAATTTTGTGCACTTTACCGTCAAAATGACCTGATTCCTTACTCGTGCGCTTTTTCTGTGTTTCTTTAGGATGGATTTCCCAATGTATGTTTATAAACCCAGGCGGGGAATGAAGCGAGGAGAAGAGAGCAAGGTCCGTTCTATGTGTGTGTGTGTGTGTGTTCGTGTTTGTGGTTGTTTATTGCCAATTGGTAAAGTTAAGTAATAACCATAGAGCTCAAACATCCAGGAATTAGATTAGGAGTTGGTCTATAGTCCCATAAATGGTTGACCTAGTTTCTACTATGACATAACTCCTGGATTCCTTCCTATCGGTGTATCTGCCTCTGGTCATGGAGACCTGTGTGCTCTCGTTTCACTTAAATTTACGCAACATTTCTGTTTATTCTCTTAGGAAACCTACAAGCTGCCTCACAGACTTATTGAGAAGAAAAGACGTGACCGGATAAACGAATGCATCGCCCAGTTAAAAGATCTATTACCCGAGCACCTGAAACTAACTGTAAGTTCATAGTGTAGGTGGGAGGGTTAATGGGATTGGCTGTATTGAGCGGCACGCACCATCTAGTGGCTGTTTAGTGCTATCACATCTTTGTTGAGTGCGTCAGCAGCTCATGCCGATGACGGCTCACGTTAAAGAGAATGTGCTGCTGTTAGATTTTGTTGTTTCGAATGTATAGTTTAAAAAGTTACAGTCAGTGTTGATTTCCTTAATGCAAATGAAATTTCCATAAATTTGTGTAAATTATTTCAGAGTAATCACATGTGGTGATGTGTACATGTGTGGTAGAGCTTGGTTTCTGCGTGTTATATAAGACGTGAGGATATGCTGACTGTGTGCGTGTCTCTCCATTAGACTCTGGGCCATCTGGAGAAGGCTGTGGTTTTAGAGCTTACGCTCAAGCACGTGAAAGCCCTCACCTCTCTTCTTGAGCAGCAGCAGCAGAAGATCCTCGCTCTTCAGAACGGCATGCAAATCGGTGAGCTGCAGATCATTTTTGCACACGCACAAACACATGAGGAGGAACTGGATGGGTTTGTTAGACAGAATGCAAATAATGCAAGTGAATGCAGAATTGCACCACTGAAAGTAACTTCACTTACAGCGGTTTACAAAAGGTCACAGTCTATATTAGATTTCTGAGTGTGTTGTTTCCTTATGTGTTTATAGAGCAGCCTCCCATCAGCCAGGAGAAGTCAGAGGAGATGTTCTGCTCTGGCTTCCACATGTGTGCCAAGGAAATTCTCCAGTATCTCGCTAATCACAAGACTGACGGAGACTTCACCCCATCCCACGTCATCAGCCACATTCACAAGTTAGCTGTAGAGGTGCTGCACAGTCCAGCCCGACCCTGCACCCCTCTTAGCCCTCAACCCGAGGAAATCCCTGCCTACCAACCTCATAAAGAAATGTCTCCCAGCTTAGCCCCTAAGCCCAGCGAGGGCTACGGGAGGAACTGTGTGCCCGTCATCCAGCGGGTGTACGCTTCACCAAGCGGCGAGCAGAGTGGCAGTGATACAGACACAGACAGTGGCTACGGAGGAGAGCTGGAGAAAACCGAATCTGGGGCGCCCCAGGGACATCCAGATTATTACGTTCATGGGAGCCAGCAGAAGCGACTGCTGGCTGACAGGCAGAACTCCAGCATCAAGCAGGAGGATGACGAGCCACGCCACAAACGAGCCCGTGTGGAGTCGTCTGAAGATGAGCTGCTCTCAGGCGGAGAATCATCAACTTCTTCATCCTCTAGCGGATATGGAAGTTTCATGAGTGCATCCCCTAACCATCCACCCCCTCCTCCACATCCCCTCTGCATGCCTTTCTACCTCATTCCACCCTCTGCTGCAGCTTACCTACCAATGCTTGAGAAATGCTGGTACCCTGGGGCCATGCCAATGCTCTACCCTGGCATGAGCAGCTCATCACCTACCATACCCAGTGAAAGGCCCGGCCCACCTCAGCTTGTGCTGTCTCCCCGGGGAGGTTCTCCAGCCCCAGCCATATCTCAGACCCCCATGGACTCTCCTGCTCTCCTTCAGGCACTCAAGCAAGTACCACCCCTCAACCTGGAAACCAAAGACTGAGAGATAAAGGCGAAAAGACTGCCCTGATATATTGCCCTGTTCTCAAAACACGACTGAGCTGTTCCATAATTCATAATCACTCATCTCCTCTTTTCCTCAGCCTGGAGGGTAAAGCATCAAATAAGAGGACTTGTAGAAAGGATCAAGGAGAGAGAGAGAGGTGAGAGCAGCATCCTTCCACGCTGAGAGCAAAGCAAAGCTCTGGTTGAATGTCAAATGCTCAGTGGTGTTCAGTGGTATATATGTATCATATAAACTGGATCTGCCCTGTGCACACATAAACACACATATGGTTGAATGTAAAGAAAGAAATGTTTTAGCTGCTGCTGTTAATGTGTAAACACAGATGAACATTGACGCATCTCACTCGCGATTTTGTAATTTAGAACGTGTTGCACCAAATGTTAGCGATAATTTGCCTCCCAAAGTTTGTCGCCTATGTCCTTTGCTCACCATTATGATTACTGAGATGGAAAAAAAAGCCCTTTCAGCCATGACCGGCACCACAAAATACAAGGATTCCCTCAAATGTGTACAGACATGAGCGAGGGTACACCACATGGTAGATGAAGGAATAGGCCGCCGCATGGCCACGCTGAATGAGAGAAGTGTCGTTTATGATTTAAACAGACACCTAAGATGGATTTTTCTGTAATTATTGTTCATAGATTTATTGTACATTTCTATTTTTGATACCTTCTCGCACTCTGTCTGCCCCGAGAGGTATACGAGGAGGGCAGAGTGTGGACAATGTACGTCGTGTACTCAGAAACTGTGTACATACTGTAGCACTGTGCTGGACCTGGTCTGCATACTCGACATCTGTTTCTGCTCAAGTCAAACCCGGTGTTTGTGCTTGCTGTTGCCTTTTACTTGTGAAAAGCTGATAAATCTCAGATGTTAATTCTCTGTACTATGTATGAATCTTGGAGACAAAGGAGCAAGGAAGTGAATGTAAACGTTTTAACCAGAAGACTAGTTTTCTATAGAAAGAGGTACTTGAGATTTTATATTTTGGGACCTACATGAAAGATGTTTGATGTAAATATTTTGTCTATAATTGTTGATATACATGATATAAGTGTATTAATAAAGTATTTTTTTTCCCGTGGAAACTTGTTCTGACCGTATATGTACGAAAGAGAGTGAGAATGTGTGCGTGGAAACAAATAAATACTTTTTAGAGGTTTTACAGCACCACAGCATTCACGTCACAGGGAACACTTATGTAATGGCAGATCTGTGGCATGGCTCTCCTGCTGGTTAACCGTCTGTGGCCTCAAATGCAAAAACACAAGCAAACACACGAGTATAAACAACTACGGTAAATCATCTGAGGCAACAGTCAGAATACATCTGCATCTTGTCTCTATGGCTGTATGAGACGATAGTAAATACGATTATTCCAGATTTGTGACACATCCCTCTGTATTTAGTTTCCCTGCAGAGTGCTTTACCTCCTGGAGACATGCAAAACATGTAGCTGTATAATTTACAAAAAATGCTACCACTACCTCCTGTGTTGTGCAATCACATTTTTCATCTATGCGATAGCACCTCCAATTATAGGTTTATCTCAGTGCAGTTCAACACAAGCCCAGTGCCAGTCACAACATCTTTGTCTTCCCACCTACACATTTTTTTTCCAGTGCCCTTTTTTTCTGAGCTTAGTCATTCTGTTGCTGGTTTGTTTATATAATCTACAGTTTGAGATTACGACCAGCCACCTAAATGTCATTTATATCTTTCAAACTAGTTTCCTTGAAGCTGATTTCCATTTATTTGTTTCAGGAGGAGTTGCATGTTGTATTGATGTCATGAGTTTGCAAGCAAAACCATTATACATGTACTCACCACCCACTTTGTTATTTACAAAGTTATTTGCTAGTGCCAAGTTGAGCCCTTTTTACCTTCAGAGATGCCTTAATTCTTCTTGGCATAGATTCAACAAGATGCTGGAAATATTCCTAAGCAATTCCCATCTATACTGACATGATAACATCACACATGATGTGAATCTCCTGTTCCAGCACATCCCAAAGGTGCTCTATTGGAATGAGATCTGGAGACTGTGGAGGCCAGTTGAGTACAGTGAACTCATCGTCATGTTCAAGCAATCAGTATGAGATGATCTTGTCTCTGTAACATGACCTGTAATCCCCCTGATGGAGTCATCAGAAGATGAGTGCACTGTGGTCGTAAAGGGACGGACAAGGTCAGCAATAGTACTTTGGCTGTGGTGTTTAAATGATGCTCAGTGTGCCAAGTAAATTACCCCCACACCATTACAACACCATCACCACACACATATATGTTGATATATATCAGGATAGATCCATGCTTTCATGTTTTTTACACCAAAGTCTGACCAGCGAATGTTTTTCTATTCTCATCTTATCCAATTTTGATTACCAAGTACTAATTCCAGTGTGGCCATCTGCTGGAAAGACTATCTGCTTTAAGGTTTGTGTTGTGCTTTCATAAATGCTCTTTAGCATAGCTTGGTTGTAAGTGCTTATTTGAATTACTGTTGCCTTCCGATCAGCTCAAAGCAGTCTGGCCATTCTTCTCTGCAATTAAGAAGACATTTTCATCCAGAGAACTGCTGCTCTCTAGAAATTCTCTCTTTTTCTCTGTAAACCCTAGAGACTTTTATGTGGGAAAATCCCAGCAGATCAGCAGTTTTCGAAATACTCAGATCTGCCTGTCAGTCACCAGCTATCATGCCACCTTCAAAGTCACTTTAAATCATCCTTAAATCTGATGCACGCTTTGAACTTCAGCAGGTCATTTTTACCATGTCTTTATGTCTAATGAACCGAGCTGCTGCCACATACATGAATATTTGCATGCAGGAGCACTGAACATGGCTGCTGGTACCAGTCGAGTATTGTTGCTGACTATGTCAATCCCTTTAAGACCACAGTGTGCCCATCTTATGATGGCTGCTTCCAGCAGGATAACAAATTAGTGGATAAGATGAATACCATGTTTTCTCAAGTCATATTCGACTGTCCCTTTCTCGTTGTTTCCTGTCTGTAGTTAAAAAATTATGACAAAGCATATGAAAAAAACTTTATTATTTTATCCATATGTGTTATTTAACACACAGCTCAACAAAATCTAGTTAACGACAGTTTACATGAATTTGATTAAACCTGTGGCAGTCAAGTGTGTTATTGTCTGAATGTTTTGAGAAAATGATTGTAATCAGTAGAGTAAGGATTCTTCTTCTTGGGGCATAAAGACCCATATCACTTAAAAAAATAACTTTCCAAATTGTTTTTACATTTTAATTTTATTTTTGTAAAAAAGCACTGAAACAATTAAATAGGTGTTGCTAAATGTACCAGCGTGTCTGTGGACCCAGAATGATTTTCTCTGGTTATTTCCTGTCATCACCAAACCTTTTTTTTTTTTGATCATTGAAACTTTATTGCCACCTGGTGGGGAATTGAAATACCCACATCCTATAAAAAGGCCAAACTTTTGTACAGACATGCATATAGATAAACTAATAGATATTCTGGTAATTTGACTTCAGCCCATTAAAATGCAAATTATTTTCAGCATTTCTGGCTGTGCTCCATCTCCATACACTCAACATCTCTTGTATTTATGTTCTTCTGTGAGCTCCCCTTTGTGTCTAGCTTTGACTTGCCTTTGAGAGTTTAAGCATAACTGATGCTTGTGGGTAGTCGGGTGAGATAAAAAGGCAGAATTATGACAAACGTTAGTTCCAGTCACAATATTTGGTTGCAATTGAAAGACCTCAAGGGTTGGAAGGGGACCCTGGAGGGACGGAAAGACCCTGGAGGAAATCTTATGTCGTGGCTCAGAACTTCGCTGGGAAAGGAAGGATTTGGACGTGTGTGATGCATGATGACGAATGGACTGCTGTTTACCCTCTGATGTACAACACGCCGGGTCTAAGGAAAAGGATAGACTCCTTGGCACCAGGGTTGCCCCACTGACACGGCGACGTAATCCCAAACGCTGTGCTTTCTTCTGAGGTTCAGTGTGTACACTCACAGGCTGTTCACATGCCACGCTGCGGCAGGATTTGCGAACAGGGCAGGTGTTTTGACGTTCTGCTTTTCTATCGTGCTCCCTCTTTGGACATGTAGATGTCATCTGGCTCTTTTTCACTTGGCTCTCCTTGCCTAAAAGGGGAAACTCAGCAACTGCATGTGGCTTCTGACTGAATTGTTTGTGTCTTGGCTCAGCCACAGCTTGAGATAACTTCTCTGGATGGACCTGATGAGGGAGAGGTGAGTTAGAGATAAAAGACTGTCTGTAATGTCTGGATCTCTTTATGGGCGCTCCTTCCACTAGCAGGTTCACTCCAAAATACTGAGGAACTTCAACTGCAGCCTGAAAATGTGATAAAGTAAAAACAAATCACAAAATTTTCCATGGCATTCATCGTTAAGTAGAAATACCCTGGAAATAAACAGCAAATGGCTTTGGAGCCAGTCCAACCTGTTTGTAAATAAGCTTGAAGCCTCCTGTGTAAGCGCTGGGATCAGTCCTCCAATCTAGCACAACCCTCAGCGTGTCGACTTGCACAGCAGGACAGAGCCGCGCAGTCACAATGCTGGAGCAGGCCATAGTAGGGCTGGCATTGATCTCTAGAAGCCAAGGCCTCAGATCTCTGCCCAACATAAAATCAGCTCCATAAAGCTCAAAGCTTGCCTTGTGGGGCTCCACCAAATCCTGGGCTGTCTGTAGAGCATGGACAACTGCTTGCTGCATGCCTGGTATCACCACCGACTCCCACTCTGTCTCACGCCCTTCTCGCTGCAGAAAAGAGCGAAACTGTGAGCAGGACCACATATTATCCTCCGGCAGTCCTGGATGGCGGTTACGAGATGGCTGGAAGTGCTTCTGGATGGAGTTGTTGCACAGGTGGACTGAGCTGAGGAAAATGGTAGAAAATGGGAACATCCACAAAGTACTCTAGATAAAAGACGCCGTAAAACTTAACTGTAACCTTCATTTTTAGTCTTTTGCTTGAAAACTCTTACTGACCTGTCCAGAGTTTTTGTCGAGTAAGGCTGAGTGGAAAACCGCAGGTAGCACTCTTTGTAGAACCAGATAGTCAGAGGGTTCCAGTCAGTTACAAGGAACCACTGACGGAGGTCAAACTTTGTGCAGTGGACCAGCAGGGGGCGTTCCAAGTATTTTTGAACCACCCACTTACTCTCCTTCGTTAGTGCTCTGTCAGTGTCCACAAGTGCCAAAATCTCATCCAGGTGATTCATACACATAATGCCTAATGATGATGAGGGTGTGGGAGTGAAAAAAGAGATGAAAGCAGAGTTGATTAAAACACAAAATCAGAACTGCAATTTTGACAAACTATATGATTCAGCAGTGTTTAAGATGACCTCGTGAATCAAATCTGATGTTTGATGATGGAATCTCATATCTTTAAAGTAATTTCACTCTGCCAGCTTTCAGTCAATACCATGTCAAATTTCCCAGCATACATTCAAAGAATGGGTCATGTTAATTTCTTAACAACACACATAAAGTCAATAATGAAATACAAAGTACTTCAAAAATAAAAAGAAGGCTTGGCTTTACCACTGCTGTGCAGTGCAATAAAGGCCTCTTGTGTGCAGCCAGATGGAAGTAAATGCGACCAAGACCAACAATTTGAGCATGATCGCAGACAGAAAACTATTTGACAGCTCAACAACAACAAAAAAAAGATCCGTGGACAAAGTTGTCCTCTGAAATTTGTCAGAAAGTAATAAGAAATGACTTGCAAAGCGCAAAGTGAACACCCATCCTACTAAAGATAAATGAGAGTGAAGACAAAGTAGCTATACCTGCATATATAATTCCACTTAGGCCAGACTTGACTACAAATCATATCTTTGTTGAGATAAAAACAGTGGTGTTTAAAAACTTATGTGAGTCTTGAAATAAAAACAATCGAAAGGAGGGAAAAAAAGAGTGTGACATCTTTCTTCTCTATGTATAAAAATTAGTAAAACAAAACCGAAAAAACAGGGATGTTAATAAAATATAGGTTTTGTTTTCAAATATTTTTATGAGAAAGTTTGCACAGAAAACTTGATGCTATAATTTAAGTTGTGCTACTGTA